GATACAGAACATCCCTGTCCCCGGCAATCTAAAAATTATAGGGCTATCAGTGCATGTAACATAGATGTGTGTGTGGACAAGAACATCAACCTTGCTGTCAAGCAAAATCAAGCTCTTAATAGCGAGTGCCACACAAAGTGCACTAACCAAATAGGTGGTAAGACATTAGGGGAACTCAGGCACCACACAGGTTATGTAGAAAGTAAACACAGGGTCGGTCATAAAGGACTCTAATGTCTATACACAAATGCACAGAGTATGAACAGCAAACAGGGTGAACTAGAAATTCAGGTTAATGAGGGCAGATATGATATTGTTGCCATAACGGAAACATGGTGGAATGAAACCCACAAATGGAACACACAGCTAGAGGGATTTAAATTATTTAAAAGAAACAGACCAAATAAAAGAGGAGGTGGAGTTGCTCTTTATATAAGAAATAACTACATCTCTACAGAAATAGAGCACAACAATGATGAAAACTGTCCTGAATGCATATGGGTCAATATAAAAGGGTGGGGGGGGGGAATGACATTGCCATAGGTGTATACTATAGGCCACCCAACCAAACACAGGAAATGGATGAACTTTTTGCTAGTCAGCTAACTAAGGTATGTAGGAAGCACATCACAATAGTAATGGGTGACTTTAACTACCCTACATCAACTGGGAGACAAACTTTGCACCAAGTGGAAGATCAAACAGATTCCTGACAAACCTAGTGACAACTTTGTCTCCCAAAAAGTAGAGAAGGAAACTAGGGGATTAGCCATTTTGGACCTAATTCTCACTAACAGAGATGAAATGATAGAAGGTGTTGAAGCCATAGGAACCTTGGGAGGAAGTGATCATGCAATATTGGAGTTCAACATTATGGAAGCACAAGCAATAGAACACAGTCAAACTAGAGTCTTGGACTTCAAGAGAGCTAATTTCAATAACCTTAGAGAGGGCTTGGGAAAGATTCCATGGATGAGAATCCTCCAGGGGAAAACAACACAAGAAGCTTGGGAAATTTTGAAAAGCAAGATAATAGAAGCCCAGTCTACCTCAATACCAACAAAGAGGAAAAATAACAGCTCTCAAAAGAAACCAGCATGGCTGCATAAAGAACTCTCTGACAAATTGAAAGATAAAAAGGACAAGTATAGAAAGTGGAAACGGGCACATAACTAAGTCAGAATATCAACAAATAGCCCGAGCCTGCAAAGATGAAGTGAGGAAAGCCAAGGCTCAAAATGAACTAAGGCTTGCGACCAAAGTCAAAAATAACAAAAAAAGCTTCTTTCAACATGTAAAAAACAAGAAAAAAATGAAGGAAACGATTGGTCCATTAGTGGGGGAAAGTGGTAAGAAGGTGACTGGCAATAGGGAGAAAGCAGAACTATTTAACTCGTTTTTTTTCATCTGTCTTTACACAAAGGGAAAAAACAGACCAACCTATCAAAAATAGTGCCATAAAAAACAGTATAGAAACACAAGTTAAGATAGGCAAGAAAATGATAAGTGAGCACCTGTCCAGCCTAGACAAGTTCAAATCACCAGGATCAGATAGATTACACCCCAAGGTTCTCAAGGAACTGGCAGATGTGATCTCAGAACCACTGAACTATATTTTTCAAAGATCTTGGAGCACTGGGGAACTACCAGAGGACTGGAAAAGAGCTGATGTAGTTCCCATCTTCAAAAAAGGAAAAAAAAAAGGACCCAGAAAATTACAGACCGATCAGCCTGACCTCAATACCTGGGAAGATTCTGGAAAAGATAATCAAACAACGAATCAGCGAACACCTACAGGCAAACAAAGTCATTACTAAAAGCCAACATGGGTTTGTCAAAAACAGATCATGCCAGACAAATCTTATTGCATTCTTTGACCAAGTGACAAAATTAGTGGACCAGAGGAATGCTGTGGATATAATTTACTTGGACTTCAGTAAGGCATTTGAGAAAGTAGACCACAACCTACTACTCGATAAGATAGAAAAATGCAGGTTAGATAGCATCACCACCAGATGGATCCATAGCTAGCTGACCAGCCGTACTCAGCGTGTGGTCCTCAATGGAACTGCATCTACATGGAGGGAAGTGTGTAGTGGGGTGCCCCAGGGCTCTGTTCTGGGCCCAGTGCTCTTCAACATCTTCATCAACAATCTGGACGAGGGGATAGATGGGGAACTCATCAAATTTGCAGACGACACCAAGCTGGCAGGAATAGCCAACACTCCAGAAGACAGGCTTAGGATACAGGAGGAACTGGACAGATTTGAACACTGGGCGCTATCTAACAAAATGAAATTCAATGGTGAAAAAAGTAAGGTTCTACATTTAGGCAAGAAAAACCAAATGTACAGGTATAGTATAGGGCAGTGGTTCTCAACCTGTGGGTCGGGACCCCATTTGGGATCGATCGACCATTTCATGGGGGTCGCCAAGCAAGGCTGTCCGCCATTTTTTTTCTCCGCCATTTTTTTTGTCCGCCACTTTTTTCCCCCTTTTCCGGCGGGTGCCTTACCTCCCTTGGGCTGGGCCAGCTGGTGGTCGGCCTGCTCCGTCTCTGCCGCTTGCCAGCTACGCCTCAGCCGGCGCAGGGGGCGGAACCATGCATGCACGGCGCTCCCGGGCAGGGAAAGGCCTCGACTTACGACCGGTTGTGTAGTCCTTGACTTACGACCGGTTTAGTCCTTGACTTATGACCGGTTTAGTCCTTGACTTACGACCGGTTGGGGCCGCGGCATTAAAAAGGTTGAGAACCACTGGTATAGGGGGTACCTTGCTCAATAGTAGTAACTGTGAGAGGGATCTCGGAGTCCTAGTGGACAATCACTTAAATAGGAGCCAGCCGTGTGCTGCAGCTGCCAAAAAGGCCAACACAGTTCTAGGCTGCATTAACAGAGGGATAGAATCAAGATCACATGAAGTATTAATACCACTTTACAATGCCTTGGTAAGGCATCCAGTTTTGGTCCCCACGATGTAAAAAAGATGTTGAGACTCTAGAAAGAGTACAGAGAAGAGCAACAAAGATGATTAGGGAACTGGAGGCTAAAACATACAAGGAACGGTTGCTGGAATTGGGTATGTCTAGTTTAACGAAGAGAAAGACGAGGGGGGACATGATAGCAGCGTTCCAATATCTCAGGGGCTGCCCCAAAGAAGAGGGAGTCAAGCTATTTTCCAAAGCGCCTGAAGGCAGGACAAGAAGCAATGGGTGGAAACTAACCAAAGAGAGAAGCAACCTAGAACTAAGGAGAACCTTCCTGACAGTGAGAACAATTAAACAGTGGAACTACCTGCCTCCAGAAGTGGTGAATGCTCCAACACTGGAAGTTTTTAAGAAGAAACTGGACAGCCATTTGTCAAAAATGGTATAAGGTTTCCTGCCTGAGCAGGGGGTTGGATTAGATGACCTCCAAGGTCCCTTCCAACATTATTATTATTATTATTATTATTATTATTATTATTATTATTATTATTATTATTATTATTATTATTAAGTCTATATTTGATTTTACACGTTACCACAGCAGCGAGAATCATCTTTGTGCAATATTGGAAGAATGAAGGACTACCATCAGAGGAAATAATCAGAAAAATATTGGAATGCGTAGAGATGGACAGATTAACTATGACAGTGATGGCAAACCTTTTAGAGACCGAGTGCCCAAACTGCAACCCAAAACCCCCAGGACTGGGGCGACGGCCCGAGTGCCCACAGAGAGGGCTCCGAGTGCCACCTGTGGCACCCGTGCCATAGGTTCGCCACCACTGAACTGTGAGATTGAAAGATAAAGAAGACACAGACTACTACCAAAGTTGGGACTTATTTTATTGTTGGTTAGAGGAAGGAATGAAGGATTCGGAATTGAATATGTATTAGCATAGTTGAGCTCAGACAGCTCGTTGATTGGAAAAATTAACATATGTATGTAAAAGAAAATCAACAAACTCTTTATGAAGTCCAACCGTCTTAAGGCATACCAGCTGAGCAGGTTGGAAAAAGACCCGTTCTGAGGCTTTAGCAGGGACAAAGCTGGGATCCGCTGAGGGAAGTTGCAACTTGGCCATTCAAACTTTTTGGGAAAGTGCAGACAACATCCTGCTTGGAGAACAAATTAATGTTGCTTCCCTGGACCCAGTTTAAGAGAGCCTGCATGCGGCAGTCACACGCCCATGGGTTTCCGGAGAGATCAAGAGTGAACCTGGAAGACACGTTGAGCAACAAAGGCTCCAGGCCGGTGATTTCGTTGGTGGAGAGATCCAATTGTCCCAGATGGTTCAATGGCTGGAAGAGCCCAGCCGGAACATGGGTCAGGCTGCAGTTCCTCAGGGAGAGCCTCCACAGCCTGGAATTCCCGTGGAAAGTCTTGGGGGCGATAGACCGGATTGGGTTATTGTTCAGGGTTAAAACTTTTAAATAGGGAAGGCCTTTGAACATCTTTGGAGACAGACAATGGAGGAGATTGGAGGACAGGTCCAGGGAGAAGAGGTTTGTCAGCTTCTGGAAGGAGGAACCTGGGATCTCCTTCAGCTCGTTGTGGTCAAGGTACAAGAACTTGAGGTCGTTCAGGGTCTGGAACCAGGAGGGGTCCAATTCAGCCAGCTGGTTTTTACTGAGGGATAAGTGGGTCAGGTTAATTTCATGGGTGAAGATCTCCGGAGGCAGATCTTTTAGGAGATTACTGGAGAGATCCAGGGTGTGCAGTTGGGGGAGGTTTTTGAAGAGGCCACTTGGAACGGTCTTCAGCTGGCTGTTAACCAGATGAAGCCCCTGTAAGTTTGGGAGACGCTGGAGGGCCTCCGAACCAAGACTAGAGAGCTGGGTGAACTGAAGGTAGATCGTCTGGGTATCTTTGGGGAAGTCGGTGGGAAATTCATGGAGAGAGGAAGAGTTGCAGAAAAATGCTTTTTCTAAAATAAGAAAGGGCTGGCACTGAGGGACCAGCTGGGCGAAGCTGCTGAGGGACATCACAAGGCAGGCAAACAGGAGAGACGGAGCCGAAGACTTCATCCTGGGGAGAAGCAGGGAGAGAAAGAGAGAGGCATCGCCTTAAGCTTCACTTTCACACAGGCCACAGCCAAGACCCATCTCCCACCCCCCATTTCTACCTTTTCTGACTTTTCTTCCTGTTCAATTCCACCCTCATCAACCTATTGCTCAATGTATTGCTCTCCTGAAATGTCTGCTGCCCTTCCTGCCTGGGTTATTTCCAAATGTATAAGGGGCTGGAATTGGGTCTGTCTAGTTTAACGAAAAGGAGGACGACGGGGGACAGGATAGCCGTCTTCCAATATCTCAGGGGCTGCCCCAAAGAAGAGGGAGTCAAGCTATTCTCCAAAGCGCCTGAAGGCAGGACAAGAAGCAACGGATGGAAACTAACCAAGGAGAGAAGCAACCTGGAATAAGGAGAAACTTCCTGACAGTTAGAATAATTAACCAGTGGAACAACCTGCCTCCAGAAGCGGTGAATGCTCCAACACTGGAAGTTTTTAAGAAGAGACTGGACAGCCATTTGTCTGAAATGGTATAGGGTTTCCTGCTTGAGCAGGGGGTTGGACTAGATGACCTCCAAGGTCCCTTCCAACATTATTATTATTATTATTATTATTATTATTATTATTATTATTATTATTATTATTATTATTATTATTATTATTATTTATTATAGAAGGTCAGACTGGGCTGAGGCTGGGGACTGAAAGGGTTATCCAACTCTTTTCCTTCCCTTTCTCCTTCCTTCCATTTTTCTCTTTTCCCTCCCTCCCTCAATCCCTCCCTCCCTCCCTTCCATTTTTCCTTCCTGCCTCCCTGCCTCCCTCCCTCTCTCTCTCCCACCCCTTCTCCTCCCTTCCCTTCCCTTGACCTCCCTCTACATCTCCCATCTTCTTCGGGATCCAACATTTCTGTTTGTCAATTAGAAAATCTTATAGATTAGAAATTTGGATGATGGGAAATCAAACCGATTCTGCCTTTTGCAGATGGGATTCAGCCCCCTTGGTTGTGATTCCCACCCTCCCTTTGGTTTTTTGTTCCTTCCTTCCTTCCTTCCTTCCTTCCTTCCTTCCTTCCTTCCTTCCTTCCTTCCTTCCTTCCTTCCTTCCTTCCTTCCCTCCTTTTCTCCCTTTTTCATTATTTCCTTTCCTGTCCTTCCTTCCTGCTTCGCTCGACTCTCATGTCCGTTGTTCCACTTTTTCTCCTTCCTTCCCTTCTTTTTTTTCTTTTTCCTTCTTTCCTTCCTTCCTCCTTCTTTTTTCAGTGTTCCCTTTCTCTTACTTTTTCCTTCCTACTTCTCTCCATTCTCATCTCCATCCTTCCTTCCTTCCCTCCCTCCCTCCTCCCTTCCTCCTCCCTTCCTTTTCTCACTTCCATCTCCTTCCTTCCTTCCTTCCTTCCTTTCTTCCTTCCTTCTTTCTTTCCTTCTTTCATTCCTTCCTTCCTTCTTCCCTTCCTTTCCTCCCTCCCTTTTCATTCTTTCCTTTCCTCTCTTTCTGCTTCCTCCCTACTTCTCTCCACTCTCATCTCTATCCTTCCACTCTTTTCCTTCCTTCCTTCCTTCTTTCCTTCCTTCTTTCCTTCCTTC